TTTTTTTTCTTCCTGAACTCTTTGATATCAGTTCCTCTTTATCCCCTCTCTCTCCCACCCTTCCCACCAGGAACTTATTAATATTATTATTATAAGTTTATTTTAGTGAAATGCAGGTTAATAATTTTATAGTGATTATAATATAAAATATTTGTTATTGATAATATAAGTATAAACATTATAATCACTCTGCTATAAAATAAGTGTAGGGGAGTTGTCCAGATGGGTGCTTGTCTGGGAAATGCTGAAATTTTTCAATATCCACTTCAGAGAAGTAGCCAAGCTTCAGTTCAAGGATCAGGAAAGCTAGCTTCTATCTGGTCTTCAAATTCTAAACAGGAAGAATCTTGATTATTTAGTAATTACAAAACATGCTTATTTGAACTGGAATGAATGTCAATTATAAATAATAGTTTCATGCATGAGCATATGTCAGATGCAATAAGTAAAGCTCTAGTTCCATAATTTAAATTTCACACAATTGTACGCTAAGCTCTCCAGGGTAATATGAGAGAGGGAAAGTCAGAAAGTATTGCTACAAAATCATAGGCACTTAAAATATCAATGTGAGCTTATTGTTGCTCAATATATCCTCAGTTTAGGCCTCTCCCTAACCTTGCCAGAAAACCGTTAAGCTCTTTGATTTACACCATGTCAAAAAGGACATTGTGGCATTCTTGAGGGACTCAATCATGTTCCTTTTCTGTGTTCTTTACAAGTTTATCAAGGCTCAAAGATGGATGGAGTAAGTTTTCCCAACAAAATTCCAATAGGACAGTCCTTGCGACCCTTGAGGAGTGAGTAGCTACATTGCCTTAATAGGGAAAAAAATGGTTGGCACAATTTTCTTGACCTTTTTCTAACCAATCTAGCTTTTTTAGTTTTTTTTAATTTCTTCCATTTTTAAAAAATTTCCTGTCTCATTCTTTACACTGCTGCAAATCTAGCAAGGTTACCCTTTGAAATTAAAAAGAAAAAGAAGAGTTGCCATAACCTTTTGAGTTGACCTTATCGCCATGACTTCCTCCTCCTTAATGTGCTTGATCTAGCGAAAAACTCGTTTCATGTGGAGCAGCAATATTGTAAATGCATTGCAAATCCTTAATGATTTGAGAAGATGTCCACTTGAGTTTTGTTAAAAATTATCCATCCCTCACTGCATCATTCCATTGTCCCCCCCCCGCGGGCCGTATCACCTACTATGGGAAACACTTGTAGACCATTAGCCCTATTATAGACTTTCCTCTCTGAGTCTTTGATTTTCTTTCTTTCTCTTTTGGTAAGACTCATAGAGACCAATAGTTGTATCTTAAGCTGCTTACAAGTTCTTAAGTTACAAGACACTACATTGGGACGTAGAACACACAATTTATGAACTACGTATTGTTAGGCAGGGTTCTCTAGGAAAAACAACTATGACACTTATGATTTTATATACATATATGGATAGGTTTATACAGTGAGAAGGAATTTTAACAGCTAATTAGTCCACATAGCAGTACAGAGAGTTCAGTTCAACTCACTTCCATGGAATAGTTGATATACTGGAAGTCTTTCAACTCAAGTGGGCTACTGGGTCCAAGGTCAAGGAAACAGACACCAGAGTTCTCCCTCAGGCAAGGCAATGGTAGTCTGCCCACTGGCAGCCAACAGCAGGGTGGGTCACCCAACAGTCAGGAGTTCTGGAGCGTAGCGAAGCAGGCCCGGATGGGATATCAGAACTCAACCAATGCGAGGTGACAGGATACACCAGCCTCAAGCTCAAGCAATGTACCAGCAGTGTGGCGAAACAAGTCTCAAAGGATCCTTAGGCTCTAGCTACGGGTTGCATGGGTTGGCTTGCCCCACAGGTACTATAGGTAAAGCAACAGCACGCTATAGCACACTTGGAACACCACAAAGCAAGAGAGAGGGGGGTGGGCCTTGCAGAGCCATTTATCTCTTTGCCCTCCAAATCAAACTGTGACTTGATTAATCCCACATGTTTCTCTTGGCCAGGTTGGCACAATAAACCTAACTATCACATAAGTTATGTCAGTTAACTGATTTGTCCACAAGAGCATGGTCCTGTCTGCAACCCAAAAAAACCAACCTTGCAGGAGATAATGTCTTAAGAAGTATCTGTAACTGTAACTATGTCCCCTATGTGGTTTATTGTATATTCGGATATACATGCATACACACACATACGTGTATACACATAATACCAATTGATACATGTATATACACACATATGCACCCATATATTCATACCTACAGACAAGCCTAGGGGCTTCTAAAAAATTTTTTTCGGGCCGGGGGGGCTTCTATAATTTTGGGGGGAAATTCTATTACCTTTTAATTGCATTTCCCACAAAATTGTTGAAGCGCCTTCAAATACATTTATATACCTATTTGTACAACCATATAAATATTTGAGGCAGCTTGTTGGTGTTGTTGCATGATTGTACTTATGTCCTTTTATGGAGAGCATCCTTTTCCATCATATTCTTCTCAGTGACAACACTTACTTTGTTCAAGCTATGTTCACTTCACCCTATCTCTAAAAATAATAAATGTTCATTCTCTCAAGAGGGCTTCCCTCCTTTGCTCCCCTTCTAGCCCTGGTAACCACCAGTGCATGTTGGTCTCTCTATACAAGGGGAGATTTAAAAGTTTATGGAAAAATGAGATTAAAAGATAATTGCATTTTTCCATGAACTTCTTGAAGCCCCCTCACTTTTCCTTATTTGTCTCCTTACAGTCGTACAATACTTGTCCATTGGGGATTGGTTTATTTCATTCAGCATTATATCTTCCAGATTCATCCATGCTATAACTTCTTTTGCGTTCTCATTACTGTTCAAGAATAGTGGTGTCTGTGTGTTTAGCATTTTGTTGTCTGTATGTCCAGAAATTTATGTAACCATTCATCCTTTGATGAGCACTTCAGTTGTTTGCATCTTTTTGCCATTATGAATAATGCTGCAATGAACATAGGTGTACATATATGTCTGCCCATGTGTCTTTATTTAGATCTCTAGGATGTAGACTTAGGAGTGGGATTGCTGCACCATAAGTATTTCTGTATCTATCTTTACGGGGAAGTAATGCATCGTTTTCCATAAGTAATTGTACCATTTACAAGTCTACCCATAGTGGAGAAGGATTCCAGTCTCTACATGCTTGCTGGCAGTTTGTATCAGTGCCATGTTTGCAGTGTAAGATGGTCTCTCACTGTGGTTTTCAGTTGCTTCTCTCTACTGGTTCATGAGTTCAAGCATCTTCTCACATGTTTGTTGCTGCTCGAATATCTTTGTTGAATTATGAGTTCATGCCCTCTGCCTATTTTAAATTACTTTGCTTGTCTTTTAGCTATTGAATTGTGGAGGTTTTGTATATACTTTAGAGATTACATCACATATGATGTTCCCAAATAATTTTTTCCCAGTCTGTAGGTTGCGTTTTTATTCTTTGACTATATCTTGTTGAGCACAGTATTTCACTTTGGACAGTCACAGTTGTATGTGATACTCTCCAGATTGTGAAAATGCCCTTTAACTTTGGAATTGTGGTGATTAAGCAAATTGTATGCTGTATAAGACTACTGAAATCTTAACATCAAATAAGGAATTTTTTTTCTAGCAAAGAATTATGCAAAGGATTATTTTATCCCTTTTTAAAATCATTTTTATATGAAGTGGGGCTTTAAAAGTTTATGGAAAATTCCATTTTATGTTATTTTATAAGCAGTTTTATTGGGACATACTCCAAATATATACAATTCGATAGTTCAGTAATAACAAGAAGTGTTATATAATCATTACGACAATCAATTATAGAACATTTTTTTCTTATAACCCTTGTTATTGGCTTCCCATTACCTCCAGACGTCCCCTGCTATACCCCCAAGGGACCATTAATCCAGTTACTGTCTCTACATATTCACCCATTCTCTTTTTTTTATTATTATTATTTTATTGAGGACTCGCACAGTTCTTATCACAGTCCATACATACATCCATTGAGTCAAGCACATATGTACATTTGTTGCCCTCATCAATCTCAAAACATTTGCCTTCTACTTTAGCCCTTAATATCATTTACTCATTTTCCCCCTCCCTCCCCCCTTCCCCTCCCTCATGAACCCTTCATAATTCATAAATTATTATAGTTTTGTCATAAGTTACACTGTCCAGTGTCTCCCTCCGCCCTCTTCTCTCACCCATTCTCTTTCAGTTCAATTTGTCCACAACAGTTTTGAAGGTCCCTTATATATTGTAGTATGAGTAGTAAGTAGTTTGGCTAGCACAACAAATGGTCTGTAAATAGGTGGTTGTTGTAAGGAAGGAGAATCTACCTACTTATCCACCCTTTTTGCTTATTCTTTGGCATTTCCCCAGAGCTCCTCAGACTTGGCTTACCCTCCCAACTGAAATCTCAGACTAGAGGAAGTAGTCTTCAAGCGGCCCAAGCACACCTCTGGTGCTACCTCAGCTGCGCATGCTTTCAGCCCTGGAGCTTTATTCCCCTTAGCTGGCACACTGGCCATTGGGGTTCTGAAGCAGGTGAAGAGTGGCAGCCTGGGGGCTTTAGGGTGAGCCACCATGTTCCTTGCACAAGTTTCCTGTGTGGGACGGTATCTAGTGTGGAGTTGCCCCTTGTCCCTTGTCATAGTGCTGCATATACAGCTCCTCTATCCTCCCCACCACTAGCTTCCACACAAGCAAATCGTGGTGAAAGCCTATCTCTCTTAAAGCATACAAACACCAGCTGGCAGCTGCTGCAGGAGAGTATGTTAAAGCTATCATGAGGGTTTTGTTTGTCTGAGTTTATGCTTTGCCTGTTACTCTTAAAATCTAAGAGAAACAGGTAAGAGAGAGCTCTTATTAAATATAAGGTTCTGATCATTTTAATTCTGCTATGGATTTTATTTTCAAAGTAATTTGCAGTTTATGTTTCTTTGCCTTTGCACAACTATAGTTAGAAGCTTTTAACATTGTTTTCCTTCCATTTTAAAGAACAATGTATATTCTGGAGGTAGCATGGCAAGGAGGAATACATACGTCTGCGAACGGACCACAGATCGATATGTGGCGATGCAGAATGGAAAAGACAGCAGGTAAAGTGTCTAGTGCTAAGTGGTATTGGGAGTGTTGTCAGTCTACATCAGTTCTTGGGTTATCCCTATAGCTGAAAAGTCAAGAGGCAAGAAGTACAAAATAACCAGTTAAGATTGCAAGCAACCATCCTAAGGCATCTCTTAACTGTGTGACAAATGGACAGTGACCTACACAATACATCATAAAACAATCATTTTAGCTGTAACTCTGACATAACCACAAAAATAATCCCACGCCATCTCATACCCACATATATAGAGTATGGCATGTTTCATGGAAGGAAAGGGAATGATCTAAAAAGAGTAAAAATGCTCACTATCATGGAGTTGACTCCAGCTCATAGTGACTCTCTAGGACTGAGTAGAACTGCCTCCGTGGGTTTCGGAGACTGTAACTCTTCATGGGAGTAGACAGCCTTATCTTTCTCCTGAGGAGTGGCTGGTGGTTTTGAACTGCTGACCTTGCAGTTAGCAACCCAACTCATAACCCACGAGGCTACTCGGGCTCTCTCTGTGGAAGATAGTGATATATTTAACAGGGTTAAACATGTCAAAAGTTAACGTGAGGATTTTAACAGGAATATTAACTTTTCATCAGCCATTTATAGCTGCTGATTTCTTTCATGTGCTTCAGTTATGAGGGATTTTTTACAGTGTGCACTTTTAAAAGTCCAGTTTTTAAATTTTAGTAAACCACAGTTTCTCTTCCTATCTGTATGTCTGTGGTCGTCTGCACTGTTATACTTTGCCAGCCTTACGGAGATGTCTGCAAGCAGCCTGTCTTCCGCAGGCTCTGCGGTGCCCTCAGCACGACCGCGCCACCAGAAATCCATGTCTACTTCCGGCCACCCGATTAAAGTTACACTGCCAACCATTAAAGACGGCGCTGAAGCGTACCGACCTGGGTAACGTGCTGGTTACATTTCATTCTGTTTGTGGTTAAGCATTTTTGAAAGAACTCAAGCACCATATGATGATGAACAATAGTCACTATCACACTAAGTGCTTTCTTACTCAACTCACCATTTGTGGCAGAGGACAAGCTGAGTTGGAACCTTAGCTCTAGCTGCTTGCGGGGGCTCTTAGTGAAAACTGCTCAAAATTGAAATCATTTTCTAGGGAAGTTTTTTTTAGGATACTATTTTAAATCCATCTGCAAAGTAAAGTATTGCTGCTTAATTTATCATCTAGGCAAATTAAGATTTTTGTGATTTAAAATAAGCAATAAAAACCAAAACACTGGGCTAGGGCTCCTGTCAGTTTTGTATTCTTCATAAAACTGCACATTCCTGAGTGATGACATCAGCAACAATTCAAAGATATCAGTGTGGTTATATGCGTGTGCAAGCATTCAAGTGTATAGACATGTGTATGTAAGTATATCCATCCATATACATATATATAATAAAGCCACATCAGACTTGCCATTGGGTCAGTCTGACTCATAACAGCCTTACAGGACAGGGCAGAATTGCCCTATAGAGTTTCCAAGGCTGTAATCTTTGCCTATCGCATCTTCTCCCTTAGGAACAGCTGAAGGGTTTGAACTGCTTATCTTTTGATTAGCAGCACAGTGTTTTAACTGCTGTGCCATCAGGGCTCCTCAATAAGGCACTTTGGGGAGGCAGACACAGATGCATCCTAGACTTCACCAGATGCCTCGTGGGCTAAGTGTTTCAAGTTGGAAGGTTTCCCACATAGCCTTGTAGGACAACTCAGTTAATTGACATTAGGTAGCATTGTGCATGAAGTTCATGTTCTATATCCTAGTTTGGTGAATAGCATTTGAGGTCGTAAAGAGCTTAATGAGTGACCACCTAAGATTACAGAAAAAAGAAAACCAGACAGACACTCAGAGAAGAAACTGATCGACAGAACCATGAAACCAGGCACTAGAGCAGGGCTAGGAAAGCTTTTCTCTGCCAAGGGCTGTTTGCATATTTAGAACATCAGTTGCAGACCATACAAAACGATCAACTTCAAAAGTAGCCTGCTGTATTTGGTCAAACATTTGATTAACTCACCCCTAGTGTGATAGCTGGAACTGCTTCTCTTTATGGAGGCATGTGATAGGAGCGGTTGTGGATGCTTTGTCGGGCCTTAGATGGCTTGCGGGGCAGAGGTTCCCCACCCCTGCACCAGATTGTGCTTGACCCCCACTCCAGACTTCTGATCAGGAACACAATAGACAATAGGTGGATCCGGATAGAATGGCAGCAGGTAGGCAGATGGCTACAGAACAGAACTCAAATTCTTTTGAAAACTAGACTTACTAGACCACCTGAAGCTAGAGGACTCCCTGAGATTATGCCCATGCCCTGAGAGTCTCTTTAAACCGTGAACCCACATTATCCCCTGAGGCCACCTTTTATCAAAAGATGAGATTGGCTTATAAAATAAAGAATACCACCCATAGAGGAAGGGGAAAAGAAGCTGTGTGCAGCAACCCTGAATTGGCCTTCCCAACATGAAGTTGTTTGTTTTTTATTATCCTTGTGTCCCTGCTTCAGTCATTTTAATCTTTAGTTATAGAGTTTTTATAAAAGGTATTTGGTTTTATTTTTATTTTTTTTATTTTTTTTAGGGTATTTGGTTTTAAACTGAAATAGTACTCATCTCTGAGTACACAGTAGATACAATTAGCCCAGGCATGCATCTCTGATCTGAACAAACAGGACCACTAGCTTAGAAGGAGCTATAGGAATTGTTTGGCTTTGTTTGTCTAATAGGTTTTCAACATGCTTTAAAGCTTCCCCTGTCAATTTTCTGAGTAATGCATCACTCCTTGTCCCCACAGTACAACGCAGAGAGTGCCTGCTGCCTCCCCGTCTGCCCACAGTATTAGTGCCACCACTCCAGACCGAACGCGCTTTCCCCGAGGGAGCTCCAGCCGAAGCACTTTCCACGGTGAACAGCTCCGGGAGCGCCGCAGTGCTGCGTACAATGGACCACCTGCTTCACCTTCCCATGAAACGGGGGCATTTTCACATGCCAGGAGGGGGACGTCTACTGGCATCATCAGCAAAATCACATCCAAATTTGTCCGCAGGTCAGTACCAATGAGCCCTCCAAGTTTTAGTTCCTCTAGGCCAGGGGTCCTCAAACTTTTTAAACGGGGCGAGTTCACTGTCCCTCAGACACATTGGAGGGCCGGACTATAGTTTATTTATTTCTTTTTTTTTATAATTATATATTGTGAAATATTTATTTCTTTTTTTTTTTTTTAAACATTTTATTAGGGGCTCATACAACTGTTATCCCAATCCATACACACATCAATTGTGTAAAGCGTATTTGTACATAATTTCTCAAAACATTTTCTCTCCATTTAAACCCCCGACATTAGGTCCTCATTTTTCCCCTCCCCCGGACTATAGTTTAAAAAAAAAAAAAACGATGAACAAATTCCTATGCACACTGCACATATCTTATTTTGAAGTAAATAAAACAAATGGGGCAAAAACACCTGGCGGGCCGGATAAATGTCGTTGGCGGGCCATATGTGGCCCACGGGCCGCAGTTTGAGGACGCCTGCTCTAGGCCCTAGAATTCCTCTAGGGAGTGTGAAGGAAGCCCTTTTTAAAATTAGTGATTTTCAAAAATGATTTCATATCATTTCTTCAGAAATGATCATTTCAGAAAGAAGCCTTGTTGGTGCTGTCAGGCAAGTGCTGAACTGCTAGCCATAGGTCGGCAGTTCAATCCTCCCAACTGCTTCATGGAACAAGTCTGCTCATGTGAATCATTATCAAATCACTGGCAGTGAGTGTGGGCTTTGTTTATTTGTTTGGACAGTTTCAGAAGTAGGAAGAAAACATTCAGGAAGGTAACAAAGCCTTTTCCTTAAGAGAAGCCAAGAGGAGGGCAGAGAGAAAATGGAAAACATGTGCATTTTAAAGTTCTGTAACACGGAAATGAAAAGAACTAAAACAACAATAAATGGGGGCTTTAACAAAAAAATATTTTTTATTTAAAATTCCTTTGATTTAGAAAAAAATCAGTTATGAACTTGTATATATACCTTTTAGATAATAGCCTTTATCTTTAAAAACATTTTTAATTTCTCACTAATAGCATATAGTTTACCCTCTTTGTGATAAAAAGAAACCCTTTTTTGTATAAAAATCCTACCTACCAGACTCATGTAGACTCATAGTTTGACATCATAAAATCTCAATATTGTTGAGTTAAAGTAAACCAAAATGCCCAAGTTCTAACCTAATAAAATTGTTTAAAATGTAAAATATGCATTGATTATATAAATTGTAAAATCTACACCCAGGCGATGTAAATTTGACCTGGTAAATGACTACTAAAACCATGTTCTGTAAAAAGAAGAATAAGCGTCTGACGTGTCTTGAAAGGAGCTGACATGTGAACAACTAGCCATGGAAACAGTAGGCACGCATGTATCGTCAGTTCACGGGTAACACACGTCAACTCATGCACAACTCCCACTGGCCTCCTAACTGGTTCAAATTCAGGGCTTCAAACCAGGTCTGTCATGGTCAATGAAACCAAACAGAACTGAATTTGTACAATTTGGATGACTTGTCGTGGTAACCAGAAAGAAAAAGTTTAGAAGTCAAAGCCCTGAAATGGGAGACTTGGAAAAAGCATAGAGGCTTTTCGGGAGCCTGGTGTGTGAGATTGGGTAATTGGCAGGGCTGTGGAAAGCCTCACATGTTCAGAGTGCCACACTCAGCTGGTTGGCCACCATCTTTGAGTAGAGTGCTGCATGTTTGAGGAGGGCAACGCCGTTGCACCATCTCCTGCTTGCAACAAATTCCTTCACCGTGGTCATGTTCACAGCTTTCAAATCATTGAAAAGACCTTTTCTGGTGCCAAAGTCAGGCTAATTAAGAAGCTGTGCAGCTGGTCCATTGGACTTGCAAATTCTCGAAGATGCTCTTAAGGAACAGATTTCGATAGTAACTCAGGGACTGCCTGTACTAAAGAGGCCTACTGGCACCATCCTGGAGGAGCCTAGAGACTGCCATACTTGTTTCTGAGCAGGAGAAAGTTAAGACTCAACACATACAGCTGTTTGAGCTGAGTCTGAAATGATGGGTAAGAAATTACTGTATTTCAAGAATGGCTATGGAAAAGAGAAGAAGCCATTTTGGGCTCTGGCTGTGTTGTGAAGCGGTTTCAGGCCTCACTTTGCCCAGGATCACACCGCTGAATTTGAGACTTTAAATCCTAAATTCTGTGATTTTTTTTTTCACTCTATAAAGTCATGATTTTGTACCATTTCCTATACAATTTCCTGATAATACGACCCCTCAAGAAAGAAAGGCCTCCAGAGTCAGTCGGAACCTGGAGTTCTTGGACCATCCCCAAAGAAATCTATAAAACCAGCAGCAACTTCTGCTTTTGGAGTTGACTATAAGCAGCCCGCCCTGGTGGCATAATGGTTATGAGTTAGACTGTGATCCACAAGATCTGCAGTTCAAAACCACCAGCCTCTGGGGGAGAACGACAGGACGTTCTGCTCCTGAAAAGAGTTACAGTCTCAGAAACCCACATGGGGCAGTTCTACCCTGCCCAAAAGGTCATTATAAGTTGACTGAATAGCAGTGTGTTTTGAGTATTAAAAGCTAATCCCTTCTTGTAGTTAAACTAGGATTAATCTAAAGGGTTGAAGACACGATTAAAAAGTTAAGTATGAATTGTGCTTTCAACATTGTGAAAAATACTTCTCTTCATCTTGCAATAAAAGGATCTTTGTAGCCATTCAGCAGATATTTGCAAACCTCCTGAGTGGTGCGGTGGCCTCCGGCTGCCTGTAATGTGGTGAGTTTCCACATAGATGAGCCATTTTCCTCACTTGGCTTGTTTGTCCTGGTTACATCACAAACCAGCCATCCATCTCTGGCTCCTGGGCATGTTCTTTCCAGACTTGTAGTACCCTCCTGAGCTTGAAATAGCAGAAAGCTCCTGGGCTCCGTGTGAGACAGGGTCGGTCCTCTGGTTATGCTCACTCTCTTGATGATCTCATGCTCATGACGTTAGATTCTTTCTTACATTAACAACTCCCAAATGTGTATCTGTAGCCCAGATCTCGCCTCTCAACTGCAGACTCTTATCCAGTGCCTACTCAGCCTTTCTATTTAGATGTAAAATCAATTCTCAAAGAGAATGCTTTCAAAACAACTCCCAAAACCTCTGTCCCACATTTGTCCCTATTTCAAGTAACACCAACACTGTCCTTCCAGTTTCTCAGGCCGTGCACCTTGGAGTCATCCTTGACTCTTATTTTTCATGTGTCGCACACGTCAACCCCACCAGCAGGTTAGATGGGCTCTACCTTGACAGTATTTCTAGAACCCTACAACTCCCACCATTTGCTCAGTAGCCATCATAGTTAAAGTACTATCAATCCATTACCTCCTAACTGGTCTCCTAGCTTATTCCCTTATTCTCCCAGTCTGCTCTCAACACAGGAAGTCAAATCCTATTGCTTCTCAATTTAATTCCCTCAAATAGCTTTTACAAAGTTCAGAATCCAATTGAGAGCTCTTTTTGTGGCCTACAAGATCCTACATGGTCTGTACACTCATTTGGTCACCAGCAAGGGCACCCCACTCTCCTCTTGACACCCCACGCACGCTCTTGCTTCAGTGTTTCATTGCTGTGCCTTCCGCAAGCAGTCTTCACTCCTCCCACACCTCCTGAGATCACTGCTGGAATACCAGTCTCAACAGAGACCTTCCCTAGCTCCCCTCTTTCAGATCACGCCCCTCCAGTATCCTCTACCTTCTCTCCCACCTTTCTTGTCCCTCATAGCTCTCAACACTCCCTGAGGTAGTACATCCCCATCACTTACTTGTGTATTGTCCACTTCCAACTAGAAAATAAGCTCCCTTTGCCCTGCTCATGCAGAGTCCCCCAGTCCTGGAAAGGTGCCTGACAGAGTGAACAGTCAGCACTATAATAACAGGGAAGGCAATTTAAAAAGTTAACCACATGACAAAGTAATAGCAAATTCGGCTAAGTGTTGTAAAGGAAGCAGGTCCTTAGGTGGAGAATAAGATCGGGGTGTATAGAGTCAGCCTCTGAGGGGAGCTGGCAGAAAATGTCCACAGTTCCATGAGCCATTTATTAAAAGTTTAACAAGAATCTCATTTAATAGTTAAGGGCTTTGTGGGAGTAGGGAAACAGTTATCCATTTGCTAGCCTTTTGTCTACATAAAGGGAATTTCTATTTTTAGCAAAGAATATGGCGGATTCTTTTAGAGCATGGTGTAGGCTGTGGTTTATTGGTTTGAAATTGAGGAGCGCCTCTGATTTTATTCCTGTTGCATTTATTGAACCTAAACAAAAGTTTCCAGGTTAGTTAAAACATTGAGAAAACATTAACTTAGCATCCAAGTTGGTGATTTCCCCTAAGTATTTTAATAATATTTTGTTCTTCTATGACAAGACACCTCATAATTCAAACTGTTTAGTACTTGTGATACCTTTATATAGATACATAATTGCCCACATCCCAAAAATCACAAAATTGGTAAAATTTTGTTATACTTCAAAGGTGTTAATTATATATTCAACACAGGGACAATTAGTGGGGTTTTTCTGGGGTTATGTATTTCACAGGCGGCCAACCAGGTAAGATCAATGTTTTTGCTTAAGACTGAGTCCATGTTTTTAGAATCGCCTGCTTGTCTAAGTTGTTGATGTGCTATAATATTTTATCATCTGCATGATTAGCTTAAATGCTTATTTTAAAAATATCTATTTTTAGAAATAGTTATATATGCATTCAACTATTTTTCTAGCTACAGGGTTGATTCATATATTTCCTGATTTGAGCGCCTACTAGAATTATTTGCCATAACAAATATGAAGTTGAATTATGCTATTGACAATTATGAAATTGTCTTAACTTTAGGCAGAACTAAATTAAGCCAAAATATATAAATCTTGACTTTATTAACTATTGTGGTTGGGAATCGGAGATCATGTTAAAGAAGAAGAGTATCCTGAACTTCCACCATGCATCTCCTCTGTGATAATACCCAGTAGACGCTCAAGAGCTGATAGTCATGTCGTCACATATGGTCGCAGTGAAGTCATGTGTGGAGCCTGAGACTGGTTAGTAATAGAAAAATGTCATGCTAGAAGTTTGCTCAGCCTGTTAGTTTGAAAAAAAATCATGTTAGATATCGGTTTTCTTGATCTATTTTTCACTTTGATCATTAAATCTCAACCTTCCCTTTGTTTTGAGGGATCCAAGTGAAGGCGAAGCCAGTGGCAGAGCCGACACCTCAAGGTGAGGAGCCGCTACCAATCCTTCGCCGCCAGGCCCCTCCCTGTCTGTGAGGAGCGTGTGCTCTGGAAACACGCACCGCACTTGAAAACATGAATAGAAATAATAGCCAGACAAGATGTGTGTTTAAAGCTTTGTATTGGGGTGGCTTTTCCTAATGTTGTCTAGCATGTAATCAAGTTGAACTTAATTGTAAACTTGTTTTCCAAACGTCATTTTTGAGTTGTATTCTTTGTAAAGAAACAGCCGTTCTATTCTATAAAACGTGTCCTAGCAGAAGCAAAATTAATAGATTAAAATGTGTCAACCCGTATCTCATGAAAATGATAAGATAAAAATTAGTCTAAATCAGATAGCACAGAATTTCTTGGTAACTGGGTTAGCAAATTTGTGAGAAGATATGATTTTAGTGAGTGGCGTGTTATAGTTAAGCACTCCATCATAGGCCATTATCTAAAACGTGCAGCCTGCGCTATTTGTTTGTCTAATGTTATGTGTGTATTCATCGTGGCAATTGGCCTCACACTTGAGCGTGGTCAGAATCACTGGAGGACTTGTTAAGCTGCAGGTTGCTGGGCCACCCCCAGAGTTTGCAATTCCACAGTCTGGTGATGACCCAGGGGTTCCCAACTGTGGCTGATGCTGCCGGAGTTAGAACCATAGGAGGGACGTGTTGGTCGTCATGTTCCTACTTTATGAATGGGAGGTTCCAGAAACGAGGTATTCAGTTATTTTGAGCATACACAAGCATTAAAGGATAAAAGAGAGACCTCAGACCTTGACAAGTCATTCCTCAGGAAGGCAGCCGTCCTTGCTTCATTCAGGGAGGACTTTTGACCAGCCAAAAACAAGCCTCAGACTTCATTTCTGCTTTTTAAATTATTTGAAATAAAAAACATACTGGTCTTTTGGAAAGCTTCAGTAAGCATGCTTCTGTAAGCCTTTCTTTAAAATGGCTGTTAATGTTCAGTCAGTGAAGTTGAAATGTTCCTTTATTGCGTTAGGTACTACCTGAGCCACCGTGGTAGGCACTAAAGGGAGGCAGGAGAGGCATTTTTAACCTTTTTTCTGCCTGTTTTATGAACTTGGAGGAATTTTTGTTTTCACCCTTCCCATTATTTTTGAGGCCCTTCCCGTATGTCTACTAAAGTTTTGATCGTGTCATGTCTCAGAGGAGCCCTGGTGGCTCAGTGGTTACGAACAGGGCTGCTAACCATCAGCTCACCAGCCACTCTGTAGGAGAAAGACAAGGCGACTCACAGGAGCTGCTCTACCCTGCCCTTATAAGGGTACTAGGAGTCAGCATCCAGCTCAAGGGCATCCATTTTGGTTTGGGGGGTTATTTTGGACATAACCTCATAGCTGGCACCTAATATAACAATTAGCCAACCAACATTTTTATTTATTTAATATAATGAGGCAATTTTATTATCATCAAAAGAATTTCCTCACTGATGTCTTAAAAATATTTGCAAAGAATTTTTTGCATCCCCTTTTATATTTGAGTATTGTTTTCTTTTTGAACAAATACCTATTGAATACCTATTCTCTTAAGGTACTATGGTAGCCATGTACTCTTCACAACCGGATAAATAGTATCCGTTTTACAGCTGAAGAAAGAGCAAGGAGTATATTGAGAGGGGGCCAGTCATAATGATGATCTCTTGTTTCGGAGAGATGGCATGGCCTGATGCTTGAAGCATAAGCTCTAGTCTTCTACTGAAAGCTAGCGTTGAGATTTCAACTCCTTGTGCCCCATTTCATCAATCTGACTGCCTCATAGCATTGTTAAGAAGGGTAAATAAAGAAATGATACACATTAGGCACTTAGGATAGTTCTTGGTTTCTAGAACCAAAAACTCTGCCATCACATTGATTCCAACTCATAGCAACCAACTCATAGCACACAGTACAATTTCCAAAATGTTTAAATCTTTATGGGAGCAGTAAGCTTTCTCTTTCTCCAAAGCAGCAGCTAGTGGGTTGAGACCACTGGCCTTATGGTAAGCATCTCACTGTATCACCCACTGCAACACCACCAAGGCCCTTCGTCAGTGCTCCATACATTCCAGCTGTTACTTTCAGTGTCGGTATTTCCAGGAGTCCTAGTGACACTATCAAGTAAGCATCGGGCTTTAACTAAAGGTCAGCAGTTCAAACTCACCAGCTGTTCCTTGAGAGAAAGAGGAGGCTAGTCTGCTCTCATAAAGATTTAAAGCCTTGGAAACCATGTATAGGATCACTGCGAATCAGAATCAACTCAATGTTACTGGGTTTTTCTATAATTAGTATGATCAATGGTAATGCATTTGAGATGTGTGCAGGAAAAAAATCATGTATATACCTCTTAAGGTCACAGGGTTTCCTTGGTGGACAGAAGGAAAACTTGTCTTGGAATCAAGGCACTTGGTTTCTCATCATCACATTTCAACTCATTATCCTTTGACCTTAGAAAAGCCATCTAAACCCTCTGGACCTCAGTTCTCTTTGTCAGTGAGAGTATTCTGTTAAGTAATCTATGAAGGCCCTTCCATACTGATACCATAGACTGTCTGCTATATGACTCGTGTTGAGTTTACAAACTGTGTTAGTCTGGGTACATTAGAGAAACAAACCCACAGAAACTCATATGTATTATAAGAGACAGTTTTAGATAAAGGGTAAGTACGCATCAAGAAAACTTCCCAACCAAGTGCTGCCCAAGCCCACAAGTCCAACATTAGCCCATATGTCCGACCGATCTACAGAGTCCTCCTCCATCTCACAAAACACACGCAATGATGCTGACTGCAGGAGGAAAGCTGAGTCTGAGCGTGGAAGCATCTCAGCGCTGGCAGGGGTGTCCACTCGGCTGCTCCAGCGCCCAGGGCTGCATCAGGGTAGGTCCATGTGGCTTCTCCTCAGGGATGTCTCGCAGGAAGTGAGCCTTGCCAGTTGAAGCAGGGAACTGGCTAAGGCAGCTGCACCCTGGTGCGACCACCACAAAGCAAGAGACCCGAGAACTAGAAAGGCGAGGCTCACCGAGCCATTTATCTCTCTGCCTTTCATTTAACCCCACATGTGTTTACTGGCCAGCTTGGCACAATAAACCTTAACTATCTCACAAACCTATAAAGAACTCTGATGCAATGACAGGTATTACAGAAGATATTAAAATACTTTTCTCATGTAAATTTTGGGAGTGTATTTTCTCTACCTGTTTTTTTTCTTTCTTAAACATGCACTATTTCTAGAACTGAAAGAGCTCAGGCACCACCTAACAATGCAAGGGACACACATACATGTTACTATATCGTATTGAGAAGACAGTATATATATTAATACCAGGGTGCTTCAAAGAGTCCCTGGGAAATTGCTATTCTCTTTTAATTCCATTCTTCCATGAACTTTTTAAAGCCCTTTCATTTAGTTTGTGTGGTGTGTGTTATAAACTACTTTCAAAGTTTACAGTGAGACAGGTTGTTAGCAAGTTAAAATTGAAACATTTGTATTTGCGTCATGAGTCAACAAATTCAATTACAGCGTCTTCCGATTTACAATCTATTAATTTTACCTTTTCTATGATTATTTTAGATAGTTTTTCTTATTTTCTATAATTTATATGAGGTGTCTAATAATTAGCATTCAGTGTGGTTGATTTGTTTAGCAAATATACTTCAATCATCAACTATGAGCCAAGTGCAGTTGTAGATGTCTCAGGCTTACCAATGAACAAAACAGACACACACAATAGTTGCTCTTCTGGAGTTTATAACCTAGTGATATATTCAGACAATAAATCATGAAAATAAAATAAATGAATTAAAGAGCGTATGATGGGGCATCCAAAGTCTGTGGGGAAATTCCATTATCTTTCAATTCCACTTTTCCCACAAACTTAAAAAAAAAAAAACCTGTCATATTAGAATGTGGTAAATGCTAAAAAAATTTTAATTTAAAAAAGCAAGGTCAGGGACTGGGGAGCAATAGGGTGGTTAGGGTTGGACTTACAGAGAAAAAGAACTGAGGGAATTTATCATGCAGCTCTCTGGGGGGAAAGGATTTCTGGCAAGAAGCAGATCCCGTGTGAAAGACATAACAAGGGCAGAGCACTCCCAGTGTGTTCAAGGAATTGCACAGAGACCATTGTCGGGGGAATGGCGGAGATGTGGGGTGGAAGTAGGAGTGAAGCGTATAGTCTACAGAGCCTTGTAGACTATTTTAAGATGTCTGAGTGAGACAGGAAACCATTGGAGGAGAGCAAGCAGGGTGCCGTGACCTGTCGTTTTTACATAATTTCAGAGTACTATTCTTTCTTGACACTTCTCAATTATAAATAATCCTCTTTCCTCTCAAGTCATGACTGCTGTCCTTGTCCACAGCCTGTTAACTCCCTTCACCTCCCCCACAAAAGAAAGAAAAAGGACACTTTTCTTCACATTTCAAAAATATGTATTTACAAGCAAGAATGTTAGTAGTCCTTGTTGTGTGCATATGTATCAGAGTAGAGGAGCTGCTATTAGATAAGTACAGAGACATGTCAGGAGCTGAAAGCAGTATTAAGTTCTTCACTTTGGGCTGCAAACTTATTTACTACACGCAAACACATTTGAGAAAGCGTGCTATTTTGGCATGAAGATTAATACAAGTCAAAACAGATGCCCTCCCAGAATCTGTAACAGCCAGGTGACCTCTATCCTTGCATCGACCTGGAGGGAGGCTGCAACGTGGTTGGTTGTATCAGGCCCTGAATTTAAATTGTGTGTGTGTGTATTTCTTTGCTGTGTGTACTTTTTTTCACTCTTTCCTTCTACCCTCTCCTTCCAGAAGTACATCAGGAGACCCCAAAGAAAGAGACAAAGAAGAGGGTAAAGACTCCAAACCGCGTTCTCTGCGGTTCACGTGGAGCATGAAGACCACTAGTTCAATGGACCCCAATGACATGATGCGAGAAATCCGGAAAGTGTTAGATGCAAATAACTGTGATTACGAACAAAAGGAGAGGTTCTTGCTCTTCTGTGTCCATGGAGACGCCAGACAGGACAGCCTCGTGCAGTGGGAGATGGAAGTCTGCAAGCTGCCGCGGCTGTCCCTTAACGGCGTCCGCTTCAAGCGGATATCGGGAACATCTATTGCCTTTAAGAACATTGCCTCCAAAATAGCAAATGAGCTTAAGCTGTAAAGCAGCCCACGCTGACAGGATCAGGGAAGATACCGCCCATCTCTGAGGTACAGTTTTTGAATGTACTGGTAATGCCGAATGTGATTGGCCTGTGAAACTCCCTCTGTAGACTCTGCCCTTAATGCAATAAGGTTATACATAGTTATGAACTGTAAAATTAAAGTCAGTATGAACTATAATAAATATCTCTAGCTATAAAGCCTAGGTTCACATGTACAGGTAAGTATATCGTGTATTTCTGTTCATTTTCTGTTCATAGAGTTGTATAATAAAACAAATGATTGCTTCAAAACCTGTATAGTTGTCTAGATTTCTGCATATAGATGTATGTCTAAATGCTTTGAGTTGAAAATGTTCTCCGTGTTATTTACATTTTGGTGGGTTTTTAAAAATTCTTACCTCTATCATGCAGTTTTGAAAATTGTGTCCAGAATTAAAAGTACACAAAAAAATAGTCTTTATGATTACAGCATGGACTTTTAAACATTATTTTTAAATCCTATATACATTGAAAGCAGAAGCTGACAAATAGGTCAGCTCTTACTACACACTGATTCTTCCTGCTTCCCTTTGCTTGTACTAGTGGTCAAACAAGGGTTAGTTGAAAAGATTAAAAAATGTTTACAGTGTTGGCTCTTAGTTTTCAAGATAAAGTACACGGAAATACAGATTAGCTTTGCCACAAGCTTAATTAAGAAGTACTGGGAAGAAAAATTAAGCATAGATAAACTTTCTTTTGAACTTCAACGTGTTTTCCAGCCCTCTGCTAATGTTAGCAGCAAACTTATGAAGAGTAACTCCTTCCAGTGATTGTGATGTAGCTCTCCCTTAGATGTGCTGCCTTCAGAACACCCTAAACTCACTTCAGGGTACACTATGGGACAGCTTCATAGCACAGGCTCACTTTCCAGTGTTGATCAATGCAGCAGTTAAGAAATAATGCCACCTCAGGAATTAACTGGCATTGGCAACATTTGCCTCATTCTCTTTCCATCCTCCTCATCCATCCTCTGCCACGGTAATACCTGTAAGTACTTAAGAGACTTTTGAGCAAAACATGCTATTTATATAACAGTAATATGATTGATTTATGCTTATGTGGTTGTTGGATTTGTTTCCATGTAACCTGTTTGTTTTTAATATTTTGCCAGATTTCCTGTATTTATTCCACATCATTATGCCTATAATGTGGAGCTTTGTCATTGGGCGTTTGTCTACTTTTCTTTCATAGCTAGTGATATATGCGATGTAAGACCACTAGTAAAGGTACATTTTAATACTTGTTATTTTATACTGACTTAACCTCAGAGGTTGACTGTGCAATGTTATTTAATGTTGTAATTACTGTAATAGCGACACGCGGGCCCCATCTGTACACTCCTGAGAGATGGAAAGTGTATTCAGATTTCTTCATTTTAAAGAGAAAGTCAAGCCGTGATGAATACTGTAAACCCAACCTGCACTAGGGAGCTCGGCGTGCAGGTGACGTGCCATTCCACAGTGGCTTCAGACTAGGGTGAATTTGACACTGCGCTGTGCTGTGATGTAGCTTTCTTCTGTAACACTTCGGTTCCAAAATGAAATGGATTTTTGCCTTAGCAAAGGGTGGTGTTTGGAAAAACAGAAACAAAACTGTGTAGCCCCTTTTTAACCTAGTGTTCGTTCCAAAAAATTGATGCAAATCTTTATTCACTTTCACTGGTGCACACTGAAATTTTACTTGAACCGTTCTCATAATAAAGCACTTGTCTTTTGCTCTTTATCAGAATGCGAATACCTGTTTTCTAGCATACCAAGATTCTGTATGGGGCACTTAGTTCATGTGTTACAAATTTAGTTGGCAACAGGTAAAGATCTGTAGGTAGGTCTTCGGGATGTCTACTAGACAAGAAAAGTGTAATCCCTTTACAGGAGTTCCTGTTGTTGAAATTCGTAAAATAGAGTGAGTGGAGCAGGGGCATCATGTCTTTTCCATACCAGAAACTGATATTTTTCACATTTTTTCATTCTGGCCAGTTCTTATTTGCAGAAATTTTAAACTTCAATATTTTTATGAACAGAAAAAATGAAATCTTCAAAAAAAGAAGAAAAAAAATGAAATCTTCAGTTGACTTTAATTTCTCGTTTTATATATTCATAACAAACTTTTGAGGGTTTGAAATAATTTTATTATATTTTATGAATAAATAATAGCCATTTATGTTTACTGACTGTGTGATATCAAACTATCCTTGGCTTCTGTATCTGGCACCATATCCTGTATATGCAAAAAAGAAATTTTTGTAGTGATGGGTATAGTGTTTTACTTGATAAATAAGACAAATTACACTCCAGAAACTTGATCCAACAATGTTTTCTGAAGTAGAATTTTTTTTTCTGAAGTAGAATTTTATTTAAAACTCATCAGGCCTTATTATTATTACAAACTGCTTTTCACCAACAGTGCTATTTTACAATGTTGACCAAAAAATAATAATGTGCTAAGTGAGGAGCTAACTTACAGATCAAGTGATTCCACCATCAGCATGAGTAAATTTAAGATTCGCTTTTATTTTTAAAGTATCTACTCTGTCTTAAGACATATAAAGAAGAGTGTAAGAGATGACTGCTACTGCAAGATTTTGTTCATTTGGGGAGAGAAAAAAATTAAGCACACGCACAACCAAAAACAAAACAAAAAACCAAATGGGGAACAATGAACGTGCTCACTTAAGCATAGAAAACAGGCTAATTCAGAAAGGCTGAGTTTTATATAGACAGGAGGAGACCTTTTGAAGACTTTGAAGGGTGGGTGGCAAACATTTAAGAGGTAGAATGGAAAGAACTCTCCACATGGGACAAACATACAAGGAAAGGCTTGAAGTTACCATTAGAAATGTTTGAAACAAGCCCTTATTTTAGGGAGTAGGATGGTTTCCAGAGATGGATTAATAACAGATTGTAGACAGCACTGACTGACAACAAGCATCCTGATGTTGATTCAGGTGGTTTCAACACACGCAAAACACAGTCAATCTTTTTTTTTTAATTTGCTGTCAAATCAATGTCAACTCGGGTACCCATATGTTGCAGAGTAGAACTGAGCTCTGTGGGGTTTTCTTGGCAGCGCCCTTTACCGAAGCAGGTTACTTGCTGTGTGGCACTGCTGGCTAGGTTCAAATCAGCAAGCTTTCAGTTAGTAGTTGAGCACAAACTGATTGTGCAACCCTGCTGCCCATTGTGAAAGAAGAGTCATGCATTAATTCATCAAATGTGTTGAATGCCAGTACACGTCAGGTTTCAAAACCAGTTGCCCTTTAGTCACTACCAACTCCTAGTGACCCTGTGTGTGTGAGAGAAAAGCTGTGCCCCTGAGGATTTTCAGTGGTCGGTTCTTCAGGAGTAGACCTGACCTTCTGGCTGGACTCAAAGCCCCAGAGTTTCACATCAATGGTCTGTCACCCAAGCACTTCATCAGGTATTGTTAGGTGCCGAAGGAAAAGCGGTGCAAAAAAAAAAAAAAAAGCTATGTCTAATTTCTACTAGATGCTATATATTCATGTAAATTGAAGACTAGAGCCAGTGTTTGAGCTCTTAACAAGTTGTTGTTGTTAGGTACCATCCAGTTGGTTACACCTCATAGAGACCCTGTGTCCAACAGACTGAAACACCACCTGGTCCTGCAACCATGTTTGAGCCCATTGTTGTGGCCACTATTAAGCCATCTCTTCAAGGGTCTTTCTCTTGTTTGCTAACCCTCTCCTTTAAAAAAATGATGTCCTGCTCCAGAGAAAGTTCTCTCCGGAGAGCATGTCAAAGAATGAGACAAAGTCACGGCATCCGTGCTTTTAAGGAACATTCTGGTTGTGTGAAGTGACCTAGGTAGAGGCAGTTATCACAGATTAGGAAAAGGTGAACATTGGCATATTTCAGAGACATGTCAAAACTCATTTCAACCTCATTTCATAAGTAGAATATGTGGACTATAAAAAAGACAAGCAGCAGGAAAGGGGAGCTTTCTGAATTATGATTCAGGTTTCCAATTAGCATATCAAGACTTTCACTTCCATCTAAAATGGAGTAGTAGACCAGATTTACCCTCTTACCTAAAACAACAAGTGTTTTTTTTTTCTAAAACATAAAAGTAAAGTTTCCAAGATCTTTGTGATAAACCAGCTCTCACAATTGAACCACAGTCAAGAGGGCCGTGGTTGCCATTGAGAACGATAAGATAATGTTGGGGCGCAAGGGGCATGAGGAGAAGGACTCCAAGGCCCAGTTCTCTGTTTGAGGCGGATTTGTGCGCAGCTCTTGTCACAGTCCCTTCATTCCATGACAGATTCTCACGCAACCAGTCTGTTGACAATTTACTGGAAGCAAACAAAGAACTAAGAATGTTTCAGACAATTTGTCTGTGGTCCAGAAGGGAAGATAAAACCAAAACTAGGGAGTATAAATGAACACCTACAGAATGCTGTGTTTCAGCTGTTTCCTAGGGAACAAGAGAGAAAGTCTCTACCTTACCTGAGTTGAAAGTCCAACCTTCCAGTGCCACAGCTCCTTCCCACGGGCCTTACCTAAACCATGGAATATAGTGGTCTTGTACTACTTGAAGAAGGAAATGAAGTTCAGAGTGTCCCATAAATGTACTCTGTTACTTGGAAGCCTGGAAATGCCCAGAGTTCATCTTTTTAAAAAATTCTTTATTTATTTATTTATTAGTCATTTTATTAGGGCCTCATATAACTCATCACAATCCATATATTCATCAATTGTGTAAAGCAAATTTGCACATTCATTGCCCTCATCCTCAAAACATTTGCTCTCCACTTAAGCCCCTGGCATCAGCTCCTCACTTTTCCCCCTCCCTCCCTCTCCCCACTCCCTCATGAACCCGTGATAATTTATAAATTATTGTTTTGTCATATTTTGCCCTCTGTCTCCCTTCACCCACTCAGTGATCAGGTCACATGTAGATCCTTGTAATGGTTCCCCTCTTCCAACCCACCCACCCAGCACTGCCACTCACACCACTGGACCTGAAGGGATCATCCACCCTGGATTCCCTGTGTTTCCAGCTCCCATCTGTACCAGTGTACATCCTCTGGTCTAGCCAGATTTGCAAGGTAGAATTGGGATCATGATAGTGGGGGAGGAGGAAGCCTTTAAGAACTAGAGGAAAGTTGTATGTTTCATCATTGCTACATTGCACTCTGGCTCGTCTCCTGCCCGAGACCCTTCTGTAAGGGGATGTCCAGTGGCCTACAAATGGGCTTTGGGTCTCCACTCTGTACTCACCCCCTTATTCACTATGATAGGATTTTTTTTTCTGATGATGCCTGATACCTGATCCGTTCGACGCCTCATGATCGCACAGACAAGTGTGCTTTTTCCACGTGGGCTTTGTTGCTTCTGAGCTAGATGGCCGCTTATTTAGCTTCAGCCTTTAAGACCCCAGATGCTATATCTTTTGATAGCCGGGCACCATCAACTTTCTTCGCCACATTGGCTTATGCACCCATTTGTCTTCAGTGATGATATCAGAGAGGTGAGCATACAATGATGTGATTTTTTCTTCGATGCCTGATAACTGATCCTTCGACACCTCATGATCACACAGGCTGGTGTGCTTCTTCCGTGTGGGCTTTGGTGCTTCTGAGTTAGATGGCCGCTTATTTAGCTTCAAGCCTTTAAGACCCCTGACACTACATCTTTTGATAGCCAGACACCATCAGCTTTATTCACCACATTTGCTTATTCACCCACTTTGTCTTCAGCGGTAGTGTTGAGAAGGTGAGCATCATAGAATGCCAATTTAATAGAAGAAAGTATTCTTGCATTGAGGGAGCACCCGAGTGGAGGCTCGATGTCCTTCCGCTACCTTAATACTAAACTTATAAATATATGCACATAGATTTATTTCCCCATCCTCACATATAAATATATTTGCATATGTACATACCTTTATTTAGACCTCTATAAATGCCCTTTGCCTCCAAGCTCTTTCCTCTATTTCCTTTGACTTTCCTCTTGTCCCACTATCATGATCAGTTTCATTTGGGTTTCAGTAATTCCTCTTGGTTACATCACCCTTGATCACACCCTACCAGGCTTCCTACACCCACCTCACCACCGATTTGGATCACTTGTTGTTCCTGTGTCCCTGGGTTTGTTAACACCACTTCCTTTCCCCCCCACTTCCCCCTCTCCCATGTCCCTCCAGAACTGTCGGTCCCATTGTTTTCTCCTCCAGATTGTTCATCCAGTCTATCTTATTTAGACAGACCTACAGAGATAGTAATATGCACAAAAACAAGACAGCAAAACAACAACAACAAACCAATGACAAAAAACAAAGCCAAATACAACAAGAAAGAAAAGCTTGTAGTTATTTCAAGGACTGTTCATTGGCCTTAGAAGTGTTTTCCAGTCCAGTCTGTTGGGGCACCACGCCCTGGCCCCAGAGTCTACCTTCAGCATTCCCTGGAGACCTCGCCGCTCCATTCCCTTGCTGTTCTGTTGCACCTCCTTAGTGTTTTGGCGGGATCAGATAGGGTGCAGTTCCCACACTGTGTCTCCGGTGTTGTCCCCTGTAGGGCTATGGGTCAGTGAGGGGCGTCATGTCTCACAGTGGGGCTGGCCATTTGGTCCTCTCTGTGGACTGGCTGCTCTAATTGGGAACATTGTCTTCACGGCCTGGTATGCCAGGATGTGCTCCACTTTCTCCTTCCCCTTCATCTGCTCCCGTGTGCTCCCATCAGATATGTCCCTCTCCCGGAGCTG